GATAATTTTTTAATCCCATTATCATCAAATCTAGAATGGAGATGATAACTTTTATTTGAATCCCAAATCATCAAGTATCATGGAATGGATATGATAATTTTTCAATCCTAGCTAGATCATCAAAGTATTCTTGGGCGGAGATAATACTACTCGCTTCATAAAAAAATTCGATTACAGTTTTGGAACATGGCAAATTGTTTTAAGTTTGACCAAATTTATAAAAAATAGTGTCAACATTTATGTCTACAAATGGTTTACTAGAAAATGTGTTATATAATAGTGTTTTTTCATATATTTAATAATTAAATCTACAGTTATTTAATTTCTTGAAAAAATAGAAATGGCATTTTTTTTGGGGACGGGGGTGCTAGTGGTTTGTTGGGGCCCTGGGGAAGTTGGAGCTCGTACGGCCGCACTTGTGCGATCGGCGACGTGGCATGCGTCGTGTGTTCAGGCGCAAAAGCGAGAGGCCGGTCCAGCGCGAACGGGAGCGGGAGAAAAAGACACAACACAAGCTATCAGGACACGCCCCTGGGGCCCGGCCTCCCTGGGGCTGGGGCCGCGTAGTCCGTCGCGAGTCGCCGTCGCCTGATGCGTGTGGTGCCAACGGCCTCGATCGATCGACGCGGGTCCCGCACTCCCGCAGCAGCTAGCGCAGCCATGCATCCACAACGTCCGGTGTCTGTCCGGGGTCGCCGCGCCGGCGAGCGGCACAGACGACGACGCGCGACGGACAGCGACGGCGCACAGGCAGTTTTGTGGTGGTGGTGCAGGCGCGACGAGAGGCTGGCCGGGCGTGACAGAGAGAGAGAGATGCTCATGCCGCCGTCATGCATGGACGATAAGGAACGAAAGGAAGCACGCACAGGGGCCGGCCGGCATGCCGGGTCTCTCTCCCGCAAGCCGCCGTAAAGGTACCGATCGGTTGCGCCGGCCGACGCCCGCCCGCCCCGCCATCCGCCGCCGCCCCGCTCCGAGAGCGTGCGTACGTACGCACCTGCCCCTCGTCGATCCATAGAACCACTCGAAACCTGCGATCTGAGGAGACGACCGCGGCTGCAGGGCACCCACGCACCTGACGAGCGACGCGTCGTGCCGTGTGCGTGTACGTACGTACATAAACGTACGCGCGCACTGGACTGTCACGTGCGTATACGTACGTTTCCGGGTACAAAATGGCAACCGACCATGCATGCATGGAACGGCAACATGGCATGCAAAGGGCGGACACGCGCGCGTCTTCCCGGCCGTTGGCGTCTCGTCAGCGCGTCGATCACGTCGTGTAGCCGGCTAGCCGCACCTGTCGACCCCCCGTGCGAGGTTGGTCGATCGCCGCGGGCCCCGTACGTCCACCCGCTGGTCGTTTCCGATGGGAGGGAAACCGATCGACCGATCGATCGCGTCTCGCGTGGGACACGTACTGGGACTTGGGGCGACCTGCCTGCGAGTAGCGCCAAGACCGTAGGACTGTATGTGTGGGTCCACGGCGCATGGGGGCACTCCGACAGGTGGCGCGGAGCTAACGGCTCGCAGTAGTTGCATGCATGCATGCATCGATTGCCATTGCTACCAACGCGCGCTGTCCCCGTGCCGGAAAGTCCAACGGCGTTGGCGTGCATTGCCGCTTTTGGCGCACTCTCACCGGGCCACCGACCCACCACATCGACCTCTGCCTGACTGCCCGGTGCGGATCCATCATCAGTGATGGTGATGGCTCGGCGCACCCATGGAGGCATGGACGGTGGACGATGGACCGGACCACAACAGTGCACTCTCGTGCGCGCATTTCACCCACCCAGGGGAGTTGGAGCAGTACATCATGGAAGCTCGGCGGTCGACACGTACGCGGCGGTCATCCTTTTGTTTCTGAAATTGTCAGGGTATGCACATGCATCCTCCACAGAGATGCCTTCTAGAACGTTCTCCAGCTCAAATTCATAGGAATTCAAGAACTAATCTGGATAGGAAAAAAAATCTTAACATCCTAGAATTTCATCCAAACACCTTAGGATTTTAGAGGATTCTAACACACAGACACATGACTTAAGAAATATCGGTAATCTAAAAAAATAAGAAATATCAAAGATTTTTTTCATTTAGAATCCGGATTTTAGAATCTCATCCAAACATGTCATAAATTGGGGATGGATACGACTTGCAGTTTCAGTCCATGAGTATACCGCACGCCAAATGCATAAATCGATCCCGTGCTTATATTATTGTGAGGCAAAATTAAATCCGTAGCACCGTAGAAATATATTTCCCCTCTCTGTACGTACTGTACATACGGGTACCCTAATGTAGCCCTGCACCGAAATTAATGCGACTCGACGAGTCGGCGTGCGCAACCGACGACGTATGGAACTGAACGACCCGATTCGCGGCGTATCCTCGGCCGGCGGTGGCACAGGCCAGTGTGGTCACTGCCTCACTGGTCCTCCACGCACCCGTTCCGTTCGCACGGGGCCCAAAGGCATGCGTGCCCAGACTGCGAAAGATACCGAGACGCGTTACGTTTACGTACTAGCTGCCGTGTGAGGTGTGATGCCAGCGGCCGCACGAGTCACATGTTTGCCGTGCCCCAAATGATGTATCACACATCACACATAATAAAATAATACTGCTAATAATACTCATATAGTACTACTAGTAGCGTATCGATCTGCACTTGCACTGCACGCGTCCCTATCACGCAGGTTGAGACGTGACGTGGCACCATCGTCTTCACAGCTTCACGTAGCACAGTACGAGCGGATCGATTCCAAATCTTACGACCTCTACTTCCCCTTACACAGAACGAAGTGCAAGCATTCTTCAGAGCTTCCACGTACACCGTCGTGGGTAATGGACATTGCATCCTGTTCTGGGAAGACAGATGGATCAATGGTGATTCAGTCAGCGACATCGCACCTTGCCTTTATCACCTGGTGCCACCAACAGTCCGCCGCCGGCAATCCGTAACCATGGGGTTGCAAAACAGGGTTGCAAAGCATCGCAGGACATGGGGCCATCATCGACACCATCGCCGGAGGAAATTTCAGCAACCCAGCCTGACAGAACATCGAGGTGGACTCCGACCTATCATACCGCATATGCGGGCTCTTCCTGGAAAACTTGGGCGCCACTGAAGATCAAGATCTTCCTCTGGCTCGCCCTAAGGCGCAGACATTGGACCGGGGATTGACGGAGAAAACATGGACTCGACGCAAGGGAGCTTTGCTATCTCTGCGATCAGGAGGTGGAAACTATTGACCACATCATCGCTACCTGCTCGTTCTCCAGGGAGGTCTGGTTCTTCGTTCTGCAAGCGCTGCGGCTACAACTACCTCAGGCTGCGCCGACGACGCTGTTCTGGTGGCGGCGGCTGCGTTCATCGATCAACGGCGAACGGCGGCCAGGTCTGGACTCTCTATTCGCGCTGGTCTTGTGGCAGGTCTACAAGGAGCGCAACGCGCGTTGCTTCAGGAACTCGACATCTACGGTCACCGATACACTACAGGTCATAAAGGCCGAAGCAGACCGATGGATCGAAGCCGGCGCCGATGGACTGAAAGTGCTAGCTGAAGGATAGTGTTTCAGACCGGAAGCCGTGCTTCTTGAATGTAGTTTCAGAAATGTAGCCATCATGTAAAATCCAGTTTGCCGGAGACGGCTTCCTGTAGTATAAGCCTCTTTCTTCTGATACAATGATACGCGCACGTGCGTATTCGAGAAAAAAAATACAGAAAGTCAAAAACGCAAGTTGCTCTGCGCATTCGTGTTTGACCCGGCCCGTGCCGGTGGGCTGCCGGCCGGCCTGCCGCTGTGCAGGAGCGCAGGTCAAACCCGCCAGGTGTGCGGCACTTGCCAGGCCGAGGCGGGCCGGTCCGCTGCCACTTGCCACCGCGACTGCCTCCCTCCTCGGCTCCTCGTACGCGCACCTCGCCGCGTGCACCGTGCACCGTGCAGGCTTCACACACGCCCACCGGATTAATTACCGCGCCCACGCACGTGCTTACTCGCGCTATGACTTTTCACTTCTGCTCCGGTAGCTTCTGGACCGTCGGCGTAAGTTAATTTCACGCTCATTTCCTATGTGGCTTGTGCTTAAATTAGCGTAATCTTCTTTGCTGTACGGAGTATATATACCTAGTCAAGGAAAGCGGAAAAAGCAGCCGGAAACCTGCAGACAAAAAAACCATTATGGCGGCAAAATTATTTCTCTGCACGGCACAGGAGCGCGCGTACTGTACGTACTCCTCCTCTCCACTCTTGGGCTTTGTTTACATGCCAAAAATTTTGACAAAATGACACTGAAGCAGTTTTCATTGTTATTTGACAATTAATGTCCAATTATAGTCTAATTAGGCTTAAAAGATTCGTCTCGTGGATTTCGTCTAAACTGTGTAATTAGTTTTATTTTTTATTTATATTTAATGCTTCATGCATGCGTCCAAAAATTCGATGTGACGGAGAATCTTGAAAAATTTTACAAAATTTTTTTCAACTAAACTGGACCTTGATGTCGTGCCGTTACCCGTAGGCCGTAGCCGTAGACCTCACCTCACGCATGCACAGCCCCCCTCCCCAAACCGGGTTCGGTACAGTACTCCTACGTGGGCCGAGCCGTCGAGTGCACCGCGCACCAGTCCCGCAATCATTTGTACTGGCCGTCTCCTCGTCCCGCCACGCGTCCCACTACGCCCCATCGGACCGCGCACGCACGCTTTCCCGCCAAGGCAGCAGCAGCCGAGGCGCAACGCGTCCACCTGTCACAACGGCCTCACGCTGACCGTACAACCGCCCCATCTGCTCTATATATATAACCCCTCTCCCACACCTCATCGGCGCCTTCATTCATCATCACAAAATCATTCATAGAACCGAAAAAGAACACGGCACCACACGAAGAACAAGACTACTGACTGCTCCATCGCGTCGTCTCCTCCATCAATCGCGGCTTCATTCGCTTCTCTCTTCCTCGTTCGTCTCCTCCGATCAGCTGAACCGCGCGCCGCGCCATGGGGAACCACAAGAAGCTGCTCCAGTTCCTGCGGCCGGACCCGGCGGTGGCGACGGCGCCGGTGAAGTCATCGTCCACGACGTCGGACGACGAGGACGACGACGACTACTCCTACACGCCGGCGACGCCGACCACGAGCGCGAGCGCTAGCACGGCGGCGTCGCCGTACGCCGCGTCCCCGTGGACGCAGCTCCCGGGTCTCGTTGGCAGCGGTGCGGCGGAGGACGCCGCGACGACCAACAAGCAGTGGACGGGGCTCCTCGGCTCGCTCGTCAAGGAGGGCGGCGGCCACGTGTACTCGCTTGCCGCGGCGGGGGACCTGCTGTACACGGGCACGGACTCGCGGAACGTGCGGGTGTGGCGGGACCGCCGCGAGCTGGGCGGGTTCCGGTCGGGGAGCGGCCTCGTGAAGGCCATCGTGGTGGCCGCCGACGGCCGCATCTACACGGGGCACCAGGACGGGAAGGTGCGCGTGTGGCGGCGCGCGTCGTCGGAGAAGGGGGACGACCCCACCGGTGCCGTGCAGCACCGGCGCGTGGGGTCGCTGCCCCGGTTCCGGGACGTGCTGCGGAGCTCGCTCCGGCCGTCGCAGTACGTGCAGACGCGGCGGCGGCACAGCGGCCTCTGGATGCGGCACTTCGACGCCGTGTCGTCGCTGAGCCTGGACGCCGCGGCGGGGCTCATCTACTCGGCGTCCTGGGACCGCACCTTCAAGGTGTGGCGGGTGTCCGACTCCAAGTGCCTCGAGTCCGTGTACGCCCACGCCGACGCCGTCAACGCCGTCGCCGCCGTGGGCTTCGACGCGCTCGTGCTCACGGGCTCCGCCGACGGCACGGTCAAGGTGTGGCGGCGCGGGGCGAAGACGAAGGCGGGGAACAACAGCAAGAAGAAGGGCCGCCGGGACGACGGGGACACGTGGCACACCATGGAGCGCGTGCTGCGGGAGGGCGACAGCGCGGTCACGGCCATCGCGGTGGCCGTGGAGGCCCGCGTGGTGTACGTCGGCTCCTCCGACGGCGCCGTGTCGCACTGGCAGTGGCGTCGCGGCGCGGCCCCCGGCGCCGCGCCTCGGAACGGCGGCGCGCTGCGAGGACATAAGATGGCCGTGCTGTGCCTCGCCGTGGCCGGCCGCGTCGTCGTCAGCGGGTCCGCCGACCGGACCATCAACGTGTGGCGCCGCGAGGAGGGCGCCGACCACGCCCGCCTCGCCGTGCTCACGGGCCACACGGGCCCCGTCAAGTGCGTCGCCATGGACGAAGAGGAGGTGGACGACGCCGCCCCTCGCCGGTGGGTCGTGTACAGCGGCAGCCTCGACGGGTCCGTCAAGGTGTGGCGCGTCTCCGACTCGGACGGCGGCGGGGGCCTGACGACGTCGGCGACGACGACTCCCGCGCGCTACAGCTGGAAGGGCTCGTGGACGCCCTACGCGGAGGCGCCGGAGCCGAGGCACATGGGCGCGGCGTGAGCGACAAATGCCGTGCCGCCGAGAGTAGAACGTAGCTAGCCTAGGCGGTACACGACGGTGTCCGTACGTAGAAAGTTCGATTTTTTATACGCCGTATCTACTTCGTAGTACGTATGGCGCTGTGTATTAGTAGTATTTTTTTTTTATCGGCTGGTTGCAATGTTGTATTGCATTTGTAGCTAGCTGGCGCGCTGACGTGGCCGGCTGGGGTGTGGTTGGGATCTGGTCGGTGGCCAGTTGCGGCCGGTGGGCCCGGAAGATGGTGCGTGATGGCCCAAGCAAGCTGCTGCCTGCTGGTGCCGGTGCTGGCACGAAAGTTAAAGGTGGGGAGGAAATTGGGAGGTTTGTAGTTGGAGATGTGAACGTTTTTTGTGTGGTTTTTGGACTTTTTCGGCTTGCGTTTGCTGGTTTGCAAGAAAAAAGATGTACATATTGATTTTACTTGTGGCCTGTGGGCAAAGGAAACAAGGAAAAAATGTTGCTCTGGTTTGCTCCCGTTTCATCGTCGTCACGAGTTGGGTTGGCGCGATTGAATGCATCATCATCCATCTAGCTTTTGTATAGATTTCTCTTGGATCAGTGCCTTGAAACAACTTTTGAAAGAAAAAAGGCACTCTTTCTTGTTTATTTAAGAAAGCAATTAACAACTTTTAAAAGATTGATTAAAAAAACAACTTTTGAAAGATACTCCCCTACTACCCGTGATCATGTAACCTCGGAAAGTATATGTATGCATGTCGACGTTCACCCGATTGTTCCATGAACTTAAGGAAATATTGGCTACATACAACACACGCCTGCAAATCATTATAGCCGCCGTGCTAGAAGCCTAGATGTGTATGCACTTTCCGCGACAACCCGACAATGAATTTGTAAAGGCAGGTTACATGTACTCTCGACTCCACTAGTACCAAATGATGAAGAAAGGCGGTACTGGGAAAAAAAAGTTAATGGATAGGCGATGAACCATCCCAGTCGAACGGATTAAAAGATAACGATGGATCTCTTGTTTGTGACGGAGTAGTAGTAGAGGGCGAATTTGTAACGCTGTCGTTCTCCTTTTCAGTTTTTGTAGGCCACAGGTTCGTTCCTGGCCGCATCGATGGAAGGCGAGTAGCAAGGCAACGAGGTTCCGTGCGTGCGAAGCGAAGCAATGCACCTGCGGCTAAAGCTGCGGGCACCGCCCAAGGGACCGATACGGCGTCCCAAAGTCCGTCGTGAAATCTCAGAGTAGATTCTGTGCATATATTTGACGACCATTTCCACCGCCCATTGTCCGTATGCATCGCGTGTTTTTACCTGGCCAAGACTAAACTACAAAATCGTTAACTTTCGTTAATCTTACCTGGCCAAGACTAAACTACAAAACGGTACGTATAGTGTATGTACTATATACCATTTCACACCACACTACAAAATCGTTAATTTTCGTCGTATTGTGTCACGCCGTCGTATCCTACCACCGTCCGCTGCCGGCCCTCGCTCCCTATCGATCGAGCTCCTCTAGGACAGCTAGAGGAAGACAAAGATTAAAAAAAAAATCGGGTGCGTGTTAGAAGAGAAAATTTTCACTCAGGCTAGGGCCTTCCCTGGTCAAGCCGGACCATCCGACGCCTGCTCTGCATTCCCACACTACTCGTCTACCGCCCCTGAATTTCGTCTGGCGAAAATCCAAAAGGATGCCAAACCGCTTTCCACATCTGGCAATTTCACATCTGGTCAGATGAGACAGAGAGCAGGGCGTTCGGGTCTTTCTTTATGGGAGGAAAGAGTCCAAAGACTTCCCTGGTCTTCCGTCCGGAAATGGGCAGGGAAGAATTTGTATGTTGTAGCCTTTGTAATCAGTCAGGCAGGCATGAAAGAACGGGGAGGTTTCTTCTTCTTTTTCTCTTTCTCAAACAGGCATGAATTATTTATTATATATAGGAGTATTATTAAAACAGAGAGTGATTAGTGCTCTAGTACAGCTAAGTTAAAAGGGATTTAACAGCGCTATTCTTTCAGTGGTAGACGACGTGTCCGTCGACAGCGAGGCGCCTGTGGTGACTTCGTCAATCTCAAGATTTGTTGGTCCAACTTGTTCTTCGGAGGTGCTCAATGGGGATAGGGTGTGCATGCGTACGTTCATAGGGGTGAGTGTGCGCTCGTGTATGTGAGCGTCTACGTCTGTAACTGGGTCTCAGAATTTTTTTTTTAAAGGGACAGCAATTTCTATCTCCAAGCCCGACACAAATCTCCGCCATCATCTCTTGTCTCGAAAGTCATCGGGTAGCCAAACCAGTGGCTTCTTAATATCTGCTGATGAGTCGCTGCTGGTACCTTTGCAGAAACTGTGGACTAATAAAACCATCGAAGCCGGCAGGTAACCCGGGACAAGCAAGGCAGCTAGGATCACTTGTTTCCGGGAGAAGCACCTAGTACCTTGGAAGGGTTCTTCTCCAACCCAAATTACTGTTTGTCATTGTCAACACTGATGATCTGCCTAGCAAATGGAGGCCAGGGTGACTTGCAGCTGGACCTGGCCGGCCGGCTCTCTTGTCTTCACTTTGGTCACAGCTTGACACGAGGATCTGCACGGCGATTAGCAAAGCTTCTTTCAGAAGACATGCAGGCTTTGCATATTCATTTGCCAGTTGCCACTTACGGTTTGCGGCCTTTGGAAAGTAGAGGGTAGGGTTCGGCATTTAGGGTGCGGATCTACAGTAAAGCATCGGGGTCCGCCGACCCGATGACTTTCATAGAACCAGCGATACCCCTATATTCTCACCGTGTTGGACCCCAGTGAAATTAAATATCGACTCCAACGACTGTGCAGCTCAGTACAAAGGCCAGCAGGCCGCAAACGCAAAAGCGCAATATGAATACATGAATGGACATCATGCAGCCAATAAACAACAGAAGCTAAGAAGCTAACAAGCCCAAAAATCATGCCGTCGAGACTGATGCTTCGTCTTTCCAATTTAGCGATTCAACTTCTAGGTTTCTTCCTTTGTGCAAGCATTGTGTGTCATTGTCGTCAACACTGATCTGCCGAGCAAATGGAGCTCAGGCTTGGTTGATAAGCCATGGCTGAAAGTACTGTTGACTGATTTGTTGTGAAAAAAAATATTGTTCGTTGAATAAAAAAATACGACTTATAAGCCAAACGACTCTGGCCCAGGATGACTCACTGGACCTGGCCGGCCGGCCGCTATCTTGTCTTTGGTGACAGCTTGACACGCCGATCTGCACAACGATCAACAGAGCATCTTTCAGAACACCTGTAGGCTTTGCACCTATATTGTTTTCTTTTATTCATTTGCCAGTTGCCATATACGGTTTGCGCTAAGCAAAGTTGAAGGTGGCGGCCTTTGGAAAGTACGGTGTACTGAGGGGTTCAGCTCAGCATTTAGGCCAGCCCATGTTCCAGCCACCAGCCCATCCTTTTGGAGGAAGTGGCCCAGCCCAAAGGAGCTGCTTGCTATGGAGGATTTGGATTATCAGCCCAAAACAGTGATTATCATAGTGACTTTGTATCTTATTTCGTGCTAATATTCTGGATCACAAAGTAGTGATTACCATAGTGATCACCATCTACAATCACTGTAAGAATAAGATCTAAACATTGCCTTAATACTTCAAAGTTCTAACTAGTACTCCCTCTGTCTTCAAATACAATAAGGGGTCTAAGCAATTTTCAAACAAAGTAACTAAATAAGGAACTTTTTTTTGAAAGCACAAAATAAGGAACTTAGCGAAACACCACCTTGCGTCTTGGCCTCTCACTAATTAGGATAGATAGAGTAGCTAAGTTTTTTACTTTCCTTAGTTACATGCTGGCTTTTTAGATGATACCAAGTTTAAAATGAATCTTAATATTGTCGACCAAAAAAGATAGAGGACAGAGGGGGCCTAGAGCGCAGAATACCTTATATTTTGGCATAAATTTTGAACCTTCAATGAATACTTTATAGTACTTCCTCCGTTTCAAATTATAAGTTGTTTTTACTGTTTTGGTTCATCAATTTTGCTATTTATCTAGACAAATTATTATATATCTAGATGCATAGAAAAATGGATGTATCAAAAAAAAATCAAAGCGACTTATAATTTGGAACTGAGAAAATATATATACTAATAGTAATAATCCTTTTGCCCAAAAACACTTGACATCTAGAATTCTTAAGAAAAAAGTAACATGGAGGTAAAATCTAAAATGGTTCTTATGTCCATATTTATTAGTAGTTCCTATAAAAACACCGGCTATCATTTGGTAACCAAACATGTAGTTGCCATAATTAAGAAACCGCATGAGATTTTTTAAATCTTTTAGCTCTAGTTGCAGCATTACATTTGGAAAAAAAATAAAAATGAGAAAAAAAATAATAGTCGAAAATGGCAGCAGCTGATTGGTCATTACACTTTTGCTTTATGGAAAAGCTCTAGCGGCTCGCGTCGTCACTATCGCCATCGTTATCCCCGTTTGTCGCCATTGATCAAACAGCCAGCGTCTTCTCGTCTCCCCCCTTTGTCTCTACTCTACCCTCGCGCACGCGAACATCCCTTCTCCCCGCGCCGCCCCAAAGCCCCCCTCAACCGCAACCGCTGCAACTGCAATCCGGACTCCTCCCCGCCCTCGCAGCTCGCCGCTAGCGAAAACCCCCAATGGAGCCCTAGCGGCGCGCCCCACGTCTCGATGGTTCTCGCGGAGGCCCTGCGCGCGCGGCTGCTGGCCACGCTGCGGCCGTGGCTGGCGGCGGACCCCGCGGACCTGCGGGTGGAGCCGGGCCTCTTCGCCCGCGCCCGCGCCGTCGCGCGCGGGCTCCAGCTCGACGTCGCCGCGCTCAACGCCGCCGCCGGGGCGGGGCAGTCCCCGTCCTGGCCCGCCACGTTCGACCGCGCGGCCGCCGCCGAGGTCGAGCTCTCCGCCTCGCCTTGGGCCGCCCCCGCGATCGACGCCGTCGTGCGCGGCGTGGACGTCGCGCTCACACTCAGGTATGATTGCCGACCCCTGCGTTCGC